GATTAGAAGAGATATACCCAAAAAAGGAAAGAAAGGAACCAAACAAAAATTTTAGAAATATTTCATGAAGACTGGCTCAGAAGTTAAGAACACATACTGTTTTTTGTTTGTTTGTTTGTTTGTTTGTTTGTTTTACAAGACCTTGATTCAAATTGGTCACAGTACCTGTAACTCCATCTTCAAGGTATTGTCTGGCATCTGTAAAACCTGGCATTCATGTGTACCTACACATACCCCCACATAAATATATGCGCTTCCAGAGGACTGAATTTCGTTCCCCAAACCCATCTTGTGTAACTCACAGCTACCTGTAACTGAGCCCCAGGCTCTGTGCAGCCTTAGTTTTGTCTTAGCAAGAACCTGCACTTATGTACACAAATGTTCTCTCTCTCTCTCTCTCTCTCTCTCTCTCTCTCTCTCTCACACACACACACACACACACACACACACACACACACACACGGGAATACGTACATGCACATGTGGGCACACACACACAAATCAAATACGCTTTTTAGAAAAGTCATGACCACAGTGGGTTATAAATAGGCCTAAATAATTAATACTTAACATAGTTGCCTGATATAGATGTAAGTTGCCATAGATGGTCTGTTTGAGAATACTTGAAACCAGTAATGCTAGGAAATAACTGACAGAATAGGACCTCCAGGAAGAGACAGCAGCATATTTTAAAGCATGACGTACTGGTATATCTGCTGAGAGAGCAAATCCATTTTCTGACATCTGGCCCTGCTTTCTTATTGATTAATCATGATATTTAGCAGAAATTTCATTCATTGCATAGTCACAATAATTTATCATGGTAAAAAGTGTAATGGGTACTTATTGCCTGAGTATGCAGAAAAGACTATAGTTATAGGTTCCCTGGTAGACTAACTTTCTGACTTAAGTATTAGAAGAGATATATTTTTAGAAATATTACTTTCATAATTTTTATAGTTGGCTTTACATAATATAAAACAATACTGACTCATATAAAATATATTAATTTATATACAACTTTCCAAATGATTTTCTGTTCATTCATAACACAAATATGATTTTGATGGGTTGTCAGATGTCAACAATTGTGCTAGACTCTAGAGATACAAAAATAGAGTCTTGTACTCTGAACCTCAATGACTTATTCTAGTAAAATTTTCGTAAACTTCTAATCAGCTATGTAAAGAGTATAAGCAATACAAGGATAGGAATAAACCAATAGAAGCATAATAAAAGAGTCAACATAGGAAAATATTTTAATATTTGGGCAGAATTTGACTTTGCCTTTGGGAAAAAATGAAAGATAATAAAGTTAAAGAAATTTGTTTTACAGTAGAATTATAAGAACTTAAACAAAGATGGTATTAAAGCATTAAAGATGGTTATGGAAGTTGCCATATAGCTTTGATATTCTGGAGTACAAATGGAGAAATACTGGTACAATGGAAGGTGTTGGTAATGACTTAAATTATTTACACTTAAATGTTTTATGTTCTATCTTCGTTGATAATATTCTTTCAGCTCAGCTAAACAATGATGTTGCTTGTGTTCTTATGGCTCTGCAATTGTTGCTATCCCACAAAGAATACCGTTTGTTGGTGTAGTTGAACAGCTGCTAATAAGAATTTAAATGAAAGAATCTGTATGTGCTACAGAGGGTTAGTTAATGCATCATATCAATGTTAATTAAAGTATTCTTATAAGACTGACTGTTGCCTCTTATATCCCTAGTATTTACAAACACACTTCATTAATCTTTGCCCTCCTTGTGGGATGAGGCACTGCACCTGTTCTTTTTTATGAGCAAAAATGTTGCCTGCCAGATAGGTGGCGTGCAGCTCAAGAAAGGAATGGGCGGCATGTGGCAGATGAAAGAGAAAGCACCCTGGTGTTTGCTATGAATTTGGATTTCCCCCAATTTGGAGAGGTATTTTGCCTGTTTTTGTTATTGTTGTTCATTGGCGAAGTAGAACTTCAATTCCCTTAACCTATGTGTATCCCTTAAATTTCCTTAACCTACGATGCCATCATCATTTTCAACACCGTTTTGTGCTCCAGCTCTATTCTTCACTACATATAATTTTTAAATGTTACATTGCTATGAGTTTTGGGAGAATATTTCTATTGTCTAACCTGGAAAATATGACTTTTCAGGGAACAGACAAAAATTATTGACTGTATATGGAAAGTACAGCATCTTGTCCAGGCTATTATTCCTGGGCAGAGTTTATAGAGTCAGCCTAGAAATTCTTGGAGGAAAGATTGCAGAGTTCTGAATGAGGAAGTAAATAAAAATAACAGCAAGAACGGTGCCAAGACAAAAATCATATTTAAACATGCATTACCATTTTGGATTTTGGACGTATTAAAATACTTAGTAGAATTTATTGAAATAAAAAATTTCCCCACTTTGTAGTTTGACAACCCATACTGTCATGATAAAAGTACTTGTTATCTATAGCTAGTTAGATGTAGAACAGAATGCAACCGCCAGTGGATTATCTCCTGCAGTTTTCTTGCAACCTTTATCTTCAGCTGTTTCTTTATTTCAGGGCAACTGGATATTGAAAAACCCCAAACTTGACTTTTGATCAAGACCATCAGTACTAGTTAATGCTAAGTATTTGTAGGAAACAACTCTTTTCAAAGGAAGGGTCTCACAATTTGAGGGTGTGGTCCATCAAGGAAAGTAAAGTATGACATCAGGCGCTTGAAGCAGTTTTTCAGGTTGGATCTATACTAAGAAAGCAAAAAGCAATGGATGCTAGTGCTCAGGTTGCTTTCTTCCATTTCCCTTTTTATTCATACCATGGCCTCAGGCTACAGAATTGTGCAAACCATATGGGAGTATTGCTCTTTCTTCCTCAATTACACTTTGAGACCTCCTCAGTTACTTCTCTCCTCAATTACATGTAGAGGTGTATCTTGTAGGTGATTCTAAGTTTGTTCAAATTTATAATGAAAGTTAGCAATCACACTTTGGATTGGTATATTAGGGTTTATAAACAATAATATTCACATCAATACTGATAGTCTACTTTTCTGATGATTGACTTATTATGAAATTGTTGGTAAATAAATTGAATTGATTTGAAAATATGCTAGCCTAAGGAATGAGTGTTGAACTTAGGAAGAGTTCACAGAGAAAATTTTCAAGTTTCTCAGGCTCCAGAGTCTGACTTCAAGTTCTAGCATTTCTATTTCAAAGTGATCTATCTTTTCAGGTCAAAAGAACTAATTATAAAAGAGACTAGATCTGTTTACTGACATGTTTGCTAAATACATAGATAAATATTGTCAGAATGACTCTCATCAGCTAGTGTACCATTTTCTTGGCCAGTGGAAATGAGAGAAATCAACTAAAAAGAAGCATACTGATAATAGATTTAGGAAAGAAAAATGTTTTCAATGAAGATATCCTTTCTTAAAGAATACATCTATGAAAATACATTATAGTGGATCAGGAAAAGTAGCCTCTTTAAGAATAATGTAACATAGAAACAAAAATCCTCCTATTAATTTGGTGGCTTCTGATGGTCTCTGCATTTATTTAAAAAGTTAGAACAGTCAGAAACATGTTGTTATTACAATGACAGATCTCAGAATGGTCATCCCTGGCATGAAAGTTACCAAATGGATATGTTTTCTATGCAGCAGTAACTACACATCTTCCACAGTAATCTAATGCCATACATTTCTGGATATATAAACTGGTCATATCTTGGAAGTCATCCTAGGAATGTTCAGCACTCCTTCACTCTGAGTGTGTTAAGAAGAGAAACAGCCACAAAGAGCATCATTATTATGTGAGGAATAACCCAAGTCCAGAACATGTAAGAAATAAAAGATTGGTAAAATGCCAAACAAAGGAATGAAAAGGATACTTTGATATTTTCCTGAATGGTTTCTGAAGATATAGTCTTGTTTAGCATCATTCTCTGTACTGGTACCAGTACGATCTTCCACACACTTTAATTTGATGCATCAGGTGTCTGTTATGTTTTTGGAATTGAAATTTCCTTTTATTCTCAGAACCTCAAACATAAGTTTAAAGGTCATGCATGTGACCTCTACCGCTCCTAGCTGTTATCATAGTTTACCCATTGATTATGATTTAACAGTACTGGTAATCTATTAACCATTTTATTATATCCATGTGTCTGTCTCCTGCCACAGAGGCTCACTGTGGGCCATTTGCTTCCTTCATTTTTATCTATTTAATTACTATCTAAACCATAAAGTTCACATAAAATTTTCATTCTCGAAAACAAGATTTCTCTGAGGTTGTGATCTAGGTCATGATCTGCTCTAATATCATCTAACATCACCAGAGTCCTTTGCTTTGTAAGTTATAATTCATATTTATTCATGTAACAGTTTGATCAATATCTGTCTCTCCTACTACACTTGGTTGACATAGAAATTTATTTGAAAAATAGTGTGTCATTGGCTAATCACAACTTATCATTTTATAAATTTATTGGGCAAATTAATGCCAACCATGCTATCTGATGTGTCTCACTGAGATTTTTAATGTATTCTTTCCACATTCATGTTTGTTAAATTATATATTACAATTAATCAACATAATAATCATTAAATTTTTACTTTTTCCATAATAATAAAGAGGATAAAAATTTACAAAGTCCATTATCTTCTCTTAGTAACAAATTACCAACTTTTCCATTTATATATGTATACTTTCCATACTTACTTTCTCTGTAGTGTTGATTGAGGACATACTATATGGACGCTGTCTTTTTCCATTTAATAAGATGCAGAATCATTTTAGTAAGTACATATAGTTTAATTTTATGTTCTTGACATGAGTCTAGAAACTATTAAGCAGATAGGCTCTTTTTTTCTCTTTTTTTTCTCTTTTTATTAATAATCAAAATAATTAAACACGAAAATATAACAACCTTAATGCAGAGTAGCAGTTAAATTAAACTGCTGCTGGAATTTAAGGATGTGCCTATCTAAGGCACACACTTCCTCACTGTGAGGCACATGAGTGTGTGTAGGGTGTGTGTATAAAAACCAACAAGAGTTTGAGAAATGGAAACCACTGTGGGGCAGAAAGCATGGACTTTTCATTATGCAATCCCAAAACGCTCTGCTCTTTTCCTTTTCTTGGCCTCTGTATCCTCTGTGGTTCCAGTTCCAGCTGAACTTGTCACAATCCCAAATCTCTCCTTCCTCTTTTTCAGCTTCTCATCATCCTCAGACACAGGTTTGGTGTCAGATGACAGACCTTTTGTTGGAACAGAAGAAATTCCAAACCTAGCTGCCCGCGCAGCCTTCTTACTCTCCAAGCTTACAGGTACATTGAATCGTTCAGCCCTCTTCTGCATTCTTTCAGTGTGAGGTATTCCAGATGTAATTTTTACCACCTTCTTTTCTGAGGCCACATCAACAGTTTTTTCCGGAAGTTCTTCCTCTTTAACAGGCAGTTCTATGGGCTTTGGTTCTTCTTCCTCAGTCTCATCTCCCAGTACATCTTCTTCATTTGCCTCCTCTTCAGCATATTCTTCAAGATACGTCTGCAGCCGATTGATAAGATCTTGCTTTATTCCCTTGGTCTCTAAACTACGAGCAAGGCATTCTTGCTTTAGTTCAGCAAGCTTCAGCTTGTGCAGCTCCACCGTCTCGGTCGCCATCTTGCTGTGTCTTAACTCCTCCAGACTCCTATTTGTTTTACTGCCTCTTGGTTAATGTACATGTTGCTTAATTCAAAATGTAAATAATACCTATTTTCAAGCCTGGTTTTGCACACTTTTTCAGTCTTTGCATACATTTCTAGCAATGCTATTTGATTAAAAAATAGGGCATCTTTAAATGATAATGAATTATTCTAACACACTTTTGAAAAGGTTTTTCATTTTAAACTTTAACTGGCAGTAGAGGAATGTACTCATACTAGGATAAATATTTCTTTTCCAAGTCTAAGAGTGACTTGCAAAATAGCCTGTGGATCACTAAGCATTTGTCTTTTTGTTGTTGTTGTTTAAGAAATAACTTTCATGAAGAAAGTACAAATTTTTTTTTTTTGAAAAGCTACTGTCCTGGTAGATAAGTATGTATTTTCAAAGGCATAAAAATTCTGAGCTCTGAGGTAGCATTTGACAAAAATCCTGATTACAAATAATATATAACATTAGAGTTCATTTAATCTCTGTGACTCTGAAAAGCTATAAAATAGAAAGATAAGTAGTATTAATCAATGAACTTTGACATGAAAATGATGGAAATAAGTATGCATGGTCCAGACCAAGTTTCTAAGAAAATGTTTCTAACTAGAAACCTTGCACTGCTCCTCTTGTTGCATTTTACGAATACTCTGACAATTTAAGGAAGTTAGGACTGAGAGAGCCAAAAATCATTGTCGTTCTCTTAATTTCCTTTCATTCTTGAGTTTGAGAGACTTCTGAATCATGGCAATGACACACAAAACAAAACAATAATATGTATTTTCCATACTGTATACCCTATAAGCAACCCAATCAATAGTAATTTTAAGAAAAGAAACTATACTGTTTTGAGTGTGCCTAGGTTTTTGTGACTTGCTCCCCTCAGTTTTGTCAGTGTTAGAAAGTGGTAACTACGGAAGTTGTAGAGTAGTGTGGTCCTCCCCCTTAAGCAACTCATAAACTTTATCTTTCAGAGCTGAGTCCTCATTGTGTGGTATTAAGTTAATCTCATGGAGAGCAAGCAGAATTTTAGCAAGGCCATGGCTTGTATTTTAGGGCACACCCAGGCTATTTCCCCTTCTCTTTCCATTTTTTTTTCTGAGTTGAAGAATCTCATGGCTCTCGCAAGTTCTTGGACTTTCTATTTCTAGAAGTGTACATTCAAACAAACTTCCTTATGAATTATCCAGTGTTAGACATGTTATCAGCAAGAAGTGGGTAAATTCTAGATTTTTTTCTATTGATAATATTTTTCATTGTGAATTCATCATATTAAGACAGCGAAAGCACCATCGAAGTCTACATAGCCCATATAACACTCCCTAGAATCCTAAGTTATGTGGTTGTAGTCAGCTGGAATGTAAGATAATAGAAGAACTATCAAAGTGAAATTATACAAAGATAGCAATTGAAAAGAGTCCAAAAATTCTAGTGCCACTAATGGTACTATAATTCCTCTCTAATAGGGTAAACTTGAGTTCTTACACCTCAGACCTCTATTCTCTTTATCAATCCCCAGTGAAACTAATGCACGGCTGTTCCTTCATCAGGTCGATAGCCATGATAACCCTCAAATCTCATGTCCTTGGCTGTTTCCATATATAGTGTGCAAACAAATTCCTAAATAATGTTTTAAGCATTTGGGGAAATGAGTATTTTATTAGACCAGAAATTGATGCAGCAAGTTAATGGAGTTTGTGAAGAGTATTTTAGGAGAAGCTATCCTCCATATTCTAAGTCATAAAACCCTCATTCTTGACAATATTAGCAAGCAACAAACACGCCCCTCCATTTTGGGTACCCAAAAGACACTTTAGAAATTGTCACAACTATCGCCTGGAAGGCCTGTCCTACTGTATTACATGCTACATGTTCACAGGTGGCCAGGTTTAAGTTTCTATGCCAGTGAAGGGCTTATGATGTCTACTTATGAATTAGATATACATGATTATACAGATATAGGAGACACCTTCATGGTCATCACTAGGCTGTTCTACCTATGACTAAAAAATAGATGGCTTGCTCTGGGAAGCTATTTCCTCGGATGTCACACAGAAAATACTGAGAATGAGAAGATAAATATTGTGGACTGCTTCATGTGTAGGCCAAGTTTCACTTGCTAGCTTTGTACCATACAAATTCAGAAAAAAAAAACACCAAGATTTTCAGTAAACACTTAGTGCATAGTTAGAATTATGCATTTATTCCAAGAGCAATGTGAACGTGTCCTTGGATCCTCATATGGAAGTCAGAACATTTTCTAATCACATCACTGTCCTCTTTGATCAAAACATGCTTTCTTTGGTCTAAAATGCAGAATCTGCAAGTTTTCATATTTGTAAATGAAATAAGAGGAACCAGCATCTTGGCGTCTAGTTTTCCACATGCTTTAAATATATTAGCCAATTCATATTTCATTGCCAGATCTGCTACCATCACTAATAATTATCTCATTCAATGATTTAGTATTTTTTAGTCTAAATGTCCTGAACTAGATGAGATTACAGGTCTGTCTTAAGTTTAATTTCAAAGTCAACATCCTCTTACCACAATTAAGACTACCTTTTACTCCCAAAAGTCAAAGACATGCTAAAAACTGTCTGGAAGATTCTCACCTGGAAAACAAAATACTACAATACTACATAAGAAAAAATCAAAATCACTTTGTTTTAAAGAAATAGTTCTTATAAAAGTATACACAAAGAAAGAAAATTTCCAGGTTTGAATGATATGATAATGAACACACATTTAAGAATTGAAATCTCAAACCATTTAAAATAGAAAATTACTTCTTAGCCAAAATATGTGCTCCTGGAAAATAAGAAAAGGAACATAACCAAAAGGCATTGCAACCAAATCACTTCCTGAGCCATAATGAGCTTAGGTTTTTAATCAGACTAATGAGAAAAGATCTGTAATTCAGCACAGTTCATGAGTCATACCGTAAAGTTTCTCCCTACAGTTTCATGGCAGGCCTTGATGTATCATTCATTAGGTACTGCAAAAGCAACACTTTCCAGAACACAATGAACTGCAGACAGGAAAAGCAATGAGGAGGCAGCCTAGGTACAGCCTTTCAAAACTGCCCTCCGCCACTTCTGTCAGTGGGGTATCATCTGCACTTCTCCAAGCCATGCTTACTACCTCTGGGTTAATCGAATGACTCCTTGGTGGGCTTGGAAATCCTGGTTTTATAATTTCTCTGATAAAATTGTCATATTTTAGGAGAGATTTGACTAGGAAGAAAATAGGTAACCTATCAATTCTCAGGTTTCCTAGCCGTTCTTGGTTAACAAGGATACAGAATTTTAATAGTTCTGTCATTTCTGTTCAGAATGGCTGGACATTATAAGTATACAGCACTTGTAAGCACAATTTACCTCACAATTATTGGTACTTTAAATACTAAGTACATACAAATAGGCTCTGAAGTCCAGAAAAATCATAGAAATCTAGTAAGGTGACTAGTAAAAACAGCAAAGTAGGTTAAGATCGATTTTAAGTTGGAAAGGCGGGTACATTAAGTAGTCATGGCACAAAAGGAAGAGGGCAGGGTGGGAAGCCAAAGAGAAGAGGATCTGATGTGTTTTAACTACATAGCCTTAAGGGACTGAATTTCCCTCAATTTCAACGTCTTTGTCTCTTAAATAGTAAAAATCTTACTTTATAGATCTCTCATCTGAAAAAAATTAGAGTTCATCTTACCAGATTGTTAGTATTTATAACTATTATTATAATTGAGTTGTTTTAGGTATACTTTAATTATAAGAGAGATGATCAGTTTTCATTTATTACAGGATATATGACTTTTTATTATACACCTCTAAAATTAGGAGAAGAAGGTTCATTTCATATATACAATTCTTGTAAGAACCTCCTTCTTCCTGTTAAGGTGTATCCATAACTTCTGGGTGGATTTTCTCCTATACCATCCTTGAATGTAACTATTTCTGTCTCCCTCTGTTGCTCCTCCTTCTCTCATTCTTTCCTTCCAACTCTATCTAGTTTTTGCTTGTGACCTTCCTCTATAAGTCCTATATTTTTAGAGTTGTTATTTAGCCACTCCTGGAGATTTCTTTTGTGACTGTAGGCTTGGCTGTGATTACAGTTACGGCCACCCGGGGACAGCAGACTGCAAAGGAGCAAAACTGCATTTTTAAAGAGCCTCTGTAAGATCGGAGCCAAAACGGAAATTGGCATATTTGTCTCTAGGGGAATGCCTGTGTCCCAACCTATCCAGTACTCCAGAAGACAAAAGGGAACAATGAGAGGCTGGGGAGAAGGCTATGTGGTTAACATGTTCTCAGCTCAGGCAGAGGGCTGGAGTTCAGGTGCCCAGAATTCATATAAATTTCAGGTAGATTTATTTGGTGGCCTGCCTGAAATGTCTCATCTTCAGAATGTGATTAATGGTTTTCCCGGAGCAAGCTGGCCAGTGAGATGAGCCATTTAGGTGAGCTCTAGGTTTGACTGAGAGACTTTGCCTTATTGAAAATGGTGGAATAATGATGGAGGATAACTGAGAAAGATGAACGATGATTCTGAACATCAACTTTGGTCCTCCACATGCATGTTCACCCATATACATGCACACACACACACACACACACTCACACACACACACACATGTGCACTCATCCATGTATGTCTATGCATGGAAATATACATATATACACACACAAAAACATGCAAAATAGAAAGAAAGTAAATAGTCATAATAGTCAGAAAAACAAGCTTTGCTTCATCTTCCTGGCCTTGGATTCTACTATTTAAAACATCAGGATTATGATGTCATCGTTTGAGACTCCAGAACTTTCTTTTGTGAGCAAAGTGATGAACATGGTGGCTGAATTATTAAAAAAAATGTTTTCAATAAGTATTTTTTCTTATCTATTTTGATACAGTCACACTTGTATTGGCTTTTCCAACCTTCACTCCAAAACAACCTGACTCAATTTATCTGGGACCACA